ATTTTTCTGCTGGTAGGGGCTGATTATCTTCTTTGTCTTGTTCGCCCGGCACTGTTGTCGCAGTAATGTTTTGACTGCAGTCAGATAGATTGCGATCTCGGCCTATTAAATAGACCAGGGTAAAATTTGCTGCGTTACTTTATTTTTGTTTAAAGTAGAGGGTTCCATGATGTTCCCACAAGTAAGGCAGATTTAAAAGTCATACGGGCCCGGGGTACCGCACAGTGGGGCGAGTCTCCGCCGTGGGTCCTCAAGGCGGAGGTAGTCCACGCGAGGAAGGTGGAGACCAGGGCCCGCGGTGAACCCACCCCGCTCGAAGTGATCGATCGGTGGCGGCGCGAGGCGCGACGGGCCCTCCTCGTGCGGTGGGAGTGGCGCCTCCAGGCGCCCACGGCGGGCGTCAAGCTCGTGAAGATGGGCCGTCCGCATCTTCGGAAGTGGGAGGACCGTAAACGGGGGGTGCTTACCTTCTGGCTGGTGCAGGTGCTGACCGGACATGGCTGTTTCGGTCAGTACCTGTGCCGTATTGCCGGGAGGGAGCCGACGGCTGTCTGCCACGAGTGTGGCTGCGCCGAAGATACGGCGTAGCACTCTCTGGCAGAGTGCCCTCGGTGGGCATCGAAGAGGGCGAGCCTGATCTCTCGCTGCCGGTCGTAGTCAGTGCTATGGTCGGCGGCCAGAGGTCGTGGGAGGCGATGGTCTCCTTCTGCGACGCAATCATGTCGCAGTAGCTAGTGAGGCAATGGGCGGCCGGTCGCAGTAACCGGTCGCCGGCGTCGCAGTGCCCCGAGAGGGGGTGGCATCCGTGGCGTGCGCGGGTGCCGCCCGGCAGGAAGAGGAACCCGGCGTTTTGTTAAGCCCCACATAACCCGGCCTCGGCCGGCTTCTACCCCGGTCTGGATTGGTCTGGTTTACCGCTGCCAGAGACTCGACGTTTTCGCTTGTTTAGGAGGACACGTGTAGGGTGGGCCCAGGAAAAGGAGGTAAGTCTTACGGATGTAAGCGATGGTTGTCCAGTACAATTGAAAAAAAATATTTTTTTCTGTTAGATATTGGCAAGGTACCTGATTCTTTATAACTTTAGTTTATATTTAACTAATTGACTCAGCAAACATCGTATCGCCTAAAACTTTTTACTCACCTATTAAACCTTCCTTGGACTTCCACGAACATAAAGACCAAAATTAGCCAAGTCGGTTCAGCCGTTCTCGAGTTTTAGCGAGACTAACGAACGGAAATTCATTTTTATTTATAGAGATAAGATATGATCTGTACTTTTAGCTGTCCTTTATTGTGGAATCCACAATAATAACTTACGAATACAATAATAATCTTTGTAGAGAATAGAATACAGCAGTATTTCCTCCTTGCATTACAAGTTTCAATGTCACTATTCAGTCATGTACTAACAGGGCGACTTGCGACATCAGCATTCAGAATGCCATTTAACACTTATCATAGATATTCGTTATTAACTATTGATCGTAGCGTGATGTTTTATTGGGCTCGCTGTCATTGTAGCGGTAAGGTCCTCTTTGAGTAGTAGACGGATCACCTAATGGTAAGCAATCGGCGCCGCCCATGGACACCTGAAACACCAGAGGCGTTACGGCGTTACCGGCTTTTTGGGATTATGAATTTGAGGATTGTTGGAATTTCATTGGGGGGGGGGGGGGGGGGTGTAATTGGGCCTCCGGTAACATCACTCGCACGACGAAACACAACGAGATTTTAAAATTCAGAGAAAGCGCGTTCAAACAAACTAACTCTTCAGCTTTATGTAATGGTATTAGATAAGATATACAGACAGTAATGACGAACATGTGGATGAGTGTTTGTATGTATGTGCCTGTTCTTGTTTGTATTCGCCACTGTACCGCTTGGGTGTCGAACAGTGGCGAACACAATCAGATCAAAGGCTGTTCGGCAAACAGTTTGCGATGTTTCCACACGCTTGCTACACATCAATAATGTTGTGTTTGATATTTGTGGACTAGAAACCACTCCATTCCTACACCTGCTTCGAGTCGGGGCCTCGACAACCAGTTAAGTCTTCGTATCGGGCAATTATTTGCTACTTTAAAATCTGGTCTGTTATTTACTGATTTTAAACGTTTTATCCAAAATCAGCTGCATGTTAATGAAGTTTGTCTCTCGTGTCATCACGTGTTGGTACGTACAGCGTGCGTGTGTGTGCTTGTGTGCATTCGTGTCTGTATCACATGCACTGGGTACCTACTAGCCACACAGGCAATATTCTTGATAAATACTACAAGGTCAGACGATGTTACGCTTCAGTGAATCAGCAACTTTCGAATTTGTTTCACACACATCTGCCAGTAGGTACCTACTTCAATAATGTGTGTTTCTGTTTACCTAATTGAAATATGTTTGCTCACAATTTATTTTATTAATATAGAGTCCTTGATAATATTGTATGAGGCTAACACTTGCGTAGGTGTATGAGGCTAGCACATGAGAAATACCTACTTAGTTGCCCCCTGGTTTTAATTTATTTTGTATTATTGTACGCATGTACGACCTGTGTGAATTTGGCACCCGACTTTGGAAAAAATATTTTTTTCAATGATTTTTCGAAAGATTTCGATTAGTAGGTAGTAGATAGTAGTGAAGCTATTTCCGTTAGTAGTAATACCGAAAACAGAAAAAAATAGTTAGAAAATGTCATGCCAGAAATAAAAAAAAACTGTTTTCTCCGGCTGTTTCTCATAGATGAACGTTAGTAGTGGGTTGTAGTGCAATTTTATTCGTTTGTAGTAAAATAGAAAAAGAGAAAAATATATAGTTCGGAGTATTTTTTAAAAACAATTCTTATGACATAAATACTATTTCAAAGAATATACGATTACTACTAACGGTAGACTTGACTGAGGGTGGTTCGTAAAAGTTAATTCTGGAAGAATTTTTGATAGTAGCTGAAAAAAATGTTGATTAGAAGTACTTAATTTGAATCGAACTTGGTTCGGTGCGATAACTAGGTACTGGATGAAGTCTGTTTAAAGATAAATACGATTACTACTAACGTTAGAATTGACTGAAGAGGGTTCCAAGAGGTTAGTCGTAGAATAATTTTTGATTAATTAGAAGCACTTGAGTTGGGACAAACTTGTTTCGTAGCGATATTTATTGGATAAAATCTGTATGAAGATAAATACGACTACTACAAACGTTATAAATTATTAAAAAAGGTTCGTAGAAGTTAGTAGTGAAAGTAACGACACGTGTCGATTGAAAGCACTTGAAACGTTTATGTATTATGTCGTGTACCTACCTAATTTATATCATGCGCACATTTTCCCCGTTGGGCTTAAAACATTGCAGTACGAGCTTATTTTTTCTCTTAACTTAGATTTGTCAACACTATTGGACAATGTCTATTATGACATTGGTTTTGGACATTGTCAATGGTTTAAGGAAAATCTCCTATCCAATTCTGTATGTACAGAGGTTCAATTCTGTACATTAAATATATTTCCAAAATAATTATCAGGGAGTGATTAGGGATCAATACTGATGCCAAAAATACAACCAGTAAAATTGTATCTGTCTGTATAACCGTTATAGAAACAAAGACTACTCTACGGATTAAAAAAAATACTCCTGTGTTGGTTATAATATCCCTACCGTTCATCGCGCTACAATCAATAGGATAAAATGTTACTCCAGTGATAAAACAAAATAGATTGGATAACTAAAAAATAGACAAAAAATAGAAACAGTCTGAAGTTGACAGGCTTTTTATTTAACTCGTCGAGTACCGGTTTTGTAGACACAATTATAGAACAATAGGTTGCGGTCAGCGGTGACCGCTTGGTGTTTGACAGTTTAAGGGAGGAAAATCCACGGTAACCCGTGAAGTTCTCCGCGACGAAGTTGACAGGCTTAAAAGTCTATGATTTTTAAGATAACTTTACACAAAGGAAAAAAATAATTATTGTAATAGGACTTGAAGATATTCTTCTTGGTGGTGGGTTCTCAGGGCGTGAAATAAAGTTCGACACACGAATGACTGTAAAATGCTGTATATTGGAATAAATTATATACACAAAGTTGCACAATAATACAATGGGTAAAACTCAAATATTCGCGGCACAAATACGGAGCACGTGCGTCACGGCTCCGGCGCGGGACTCGTTCTTCTCTCGCGTCCTCGCAAGCGTCGAGCGGTCAGTGGCGGGGAAGCGGGGGAAGGGAAATAGTGTGGTGGCGCGTTGCCACTAGAGTAGCGCGCGTGCGTTCGACACAAACCTAAATCGAATTGCTGCGTTACATTATTAAATTTTAACTAATATAATGTTATATTCTCAGGTGCGCGACGAGGCGGTTCGAAATGATTCTTTCGAAGACTTTCCCCACCTCGTCGAGCAGCACTATGGGCCGGTATGCGGACGGAGAGTCCGCAGGGCGCCCCGTCTTCCGCACGAGGACCAGTTTGCCCGCTTTCCAGAGAAGCGGGAACTGGCCTCTCTCCAAGCATGCGCTGTAGAGACCGAAAGTTGTGTAGCTTAGTGATTACATAAATATAAAATGATTTGTTTTACTACTTACCCACTGATAATTTAGAAGTCAGTACCCCAAGTCGTAAATTAAATAATTTATGATTGTAAACTACGTCTAAAAATCCGACTTTGCCCCCTCTTTTATGAAGCCGGTTAACTAATATTCAAAAGCCTTTTCCTAAGTGTTACAATCCCTTTTCTGAAAACCGTATCAAAATCAGTTCAGCCAATCGCGAGATAATCGCGCACAAACAAACATACCTACATACATGCAGGTCAAACATGGAACCTCTTTCTATTTGAAGTCAGTAAAACCTGAATAGTAAATACCTATGTAGGTACACAGTACATGAAGGAGATTGTGATTATGTAGCTGTATAATATTGGTAAGTATTTTATTGTGGGCTGGTGGCACCGAGTGGCAAACTATCAGGCTGTGAGTACCGTTGTGCAATGAAGAACAGAGCGCGTGTGTGGCAGGCCAGTACTGCATGCCGGCGGAGGGCGTGCCGCTGTCGGCGCGCGGCGCGCTGCTGTCGCGCGCCGAGCTGCTGCGGCTGGCGCGCGTGTTCGTGGCGGCCGGCGTGGACAAGGTGCGGCTGACGGGCGGCGAGCCCACGCTGCGCGCCGACCTGGCCGACGTGGTGCGCGGGCTGCGCGAGGCGGGCGTGCGCGCCGTGGGCATGACCACCAACGGCCTGGTGCTGACGCGGCGCCTGCCCGCGCTGCAGCGCGCCGGCCTGTCCGCGCTCAACGTGTCGCTGGACTCGCTGCGCGCCGACCGCTACGAGCGCATGGCGCGCCGCCCGGTACGATATGCTGACTACATACTGCTACATGCTTCGAACGTGGCGACACATACAGACTTGGTTTCCGAGTCAGTATGTAGCGCCAAATAAAAGTACCTATAGCCTATGGTACTCCTTAGTACATCAGCTACCTCCCAGTAAAAATCCCGTCAAAATCCATCCAGCTATTTCAGAGATTAGCCTGTACAAACAAACAGACAGATAGACGAAAATTAAAAAAAAAATGTTATTTTGGTATGTGTCGTATGTATATTGTATATTAACTCGTCGCGAACCGGTTTTGTAGACACAATTATAGAACAATAGGTTGCGGTCAGCGGTGACCGCTTGGTGTTTGATAGTTTAAAAGCGGTTATTACAAACAGACACTTCAATCATATTTATCTGTATGTTTGTACATAATTATAGGCATATACTTATAATAATTTAATTAGGTACTTTACATGTGCATGTAAAACCACGAATCACGGTAAAGTCTAATATTTCCCAGCACTTGATAGTGAAAGACCGAATTGTTTCGTGGCAATGTTTAATTTCCAAGTACGATGTGAGCACGCGTCCGCAGGGCCTGGCGCGCGTGCTGGCGGGCGTGGACCTGGCGCTGCAGCTCGGCTACTCGCCCGTGAAGATCAACGTCGTGCTCATGAAAGGTACGCCGCTACTGGCCCACTACTGCAGGAGTACACTGACGATTTTTATTTATAACAAGAGATTGTCGCTGATTTCCAACATGTTTAGCAACATGATTTTTTTTTTTTTTTTTTTTTTTTAAGGGGGGAAAATCATCGAATGACTGCCCCCGCCTGGGTGAGGCGGGAGGGAGTGTCAGACTCTTACTGACTAAAAACCACCCCGTTCCTTCTCCTGCACGTCGAGCCGGAGCCCCGGTTACCCGTTAGGTTCTCCGCGACTCCGAATCGGCATCGGCCCTATTGGGCCCCATCTGTGGTGGTCTGATGGCTCTTTGAGGCGCGCGCGGAACGCGACGCGCCGTACGCTCGGGTCTGTTTCTGGTCGGACGGGGAGCCACCCATGCTCGCCGTCCGCAGGCCCGCGCTTACGGTGGCCGGAGATCGTCCCGCGATCCCCGACGCCCGGTGTGTCCTTCGCGATGGCTGGGTTGCGAGGAGGCAGCGCTTCGCTGCCTCACGCGTCCCGCCTCCTCCTTAGCTAGCATGACTGCTTCGCAAAAGGAGGAGACGGCATCCCAATCCCCCTCGCTCCGCATCATGGCCTGCACTAGGCCCGGACGCGAGAGGTCGCCATTGCCTATCACTTCCCTGAGGACACGGCGGTGCTCAGCCCACGAAGGGCATTCTCCCACCGTGTGTTCCACCGTGTCCTCAGGGCGGTCCTCGCAGTGATGACACCCGGGTTAGCAACATGATGATGTCATGTCGCGTGCAAAGCGTTACCTACCGGACACGAGGTTTTTAGGTATGCTAGAATAAATTTTGGTAAGTCCAAAATATGTAAATTATTCGAAATGGAGTTTCATTGAAAAATATTTTTTGTGTGAAATGCAAGATATACTGTAACGAGTGGTATACCATTTTAAAATGCTTATTAAATGCGCCAACTTTGGTGAAACTTGCCACTACTAGTACAGTACAATTTTTTTTCAGTACACTCACTTAAAGTAAAGGTAAAAATTTATTGTGAATATTTAGTTCAAAAATTAATATAAGTATTGTTCCCAAGAAAGCAGAGTTGGCTCAAAATGGATGATTCCATAATATTCAGGATAACGAAGCATCAGAAGCGATCAGAAGCACTATTCAGGATAACGTAAGCAAAAGTAGAGACGAAAAATTAAAGAACTGTAGCAACTAGAGCCAAACGACTGGCACAGGGTGTACTTTTGCGTGGATAACACAGGTCATTGTAGTTTAAAAACTATATGTCTTGGAATTTTTGTATATTTTTCTTATAACTGTTGGAACCTTGCCTATCACCTGGATTTGATCGTCGACTTCAGGGACACCTGTATGTAAAAAGGAATAAAGATAAAGATGTTGTGTGTTTAGTAGGCGCAAGTGGCGTCCCATGCTATTATAAAGTTTGTTATGGACTTAACATTTCTTTACAATTTTACCAAGCTGCTTGAAGACATCACTCAAAGTATTCGTATACAATGTACACATAAGTGCATTACATCAACAGCCTATTTTTTTTCAAGTGGGGAAAATCATCGAATGACTCCCGCCTGGGTGAGGCGGGAGGGAGTGTCAGACTCATACTGACTAATGAACAGCCTATAGACAGCCTATAGGTGAGCACTGCTGACTGACCAAAGGCCTGTTCTCGTATGGAGAAGGTTTGCGATTTTACGGTTTGCGACTCAATGCGGGATGGCGATTTCAAACTTATAATAATTATAAAATTACAAGTCCAAGTTTCCTTACGATATTCTCCGTCACCGTTTGTCAGAAAGTATCTATATATATATATATTTATTAATAACTAGGACAAAGTCATTTTGGCTACGTGCTGTCGTTGGTAGGTTTCGAACCCGCACCTCATGCATAGAAAGCAGGCGTTTTAAACCTCCGGCCACCACGTCAAATAACTACTTCATCATAGTAAATTCATTGAATGTGTACTACTCGATTAGTTTAAAGCTACGACCCTTCGACCTATCGTCTTGAAACTAGTCGAGCACCTTCAAAAATACACGATAAGTCTGGATATAATATTAGAAGGCTTCGCTTCACCACTTCACGTCCAACGTTCGTTTCAGGTTTCAACGACGACGAGATAAGTGACTTCGTAGAGTACACAATGGATCGCGACGTCGAAGTGAGGTAAGAAGAGAGACACGAAGGAGCGGGCGCGGCGGCGCCGGGCTCGCGGTGAGCGGTGAGCGTGTTGCAGGTTCATCGAGTTCATGCCGTTCTCCGGCAACCGCTGGGACGACTCCAAGCTGGTGCCGTACCGCGCGGCGCTGGCGGCGGCGCGCGCGCGCCACGCGCT